TGGGCAGAGGCATGGTCATGAGTGTGTGCGTGCAGGACGGACGCAACCATCGATGCCGATGACAACATGTTTTGCATATCAAGAGATCCGTTCGTTGGGCAAGGGTTCAAGAAACCAATAAAGGGGCCATTGTATCAACGTTAATTATTTATAAGAAAGGGATAAGAAATAATAGAAGTCTTGATTGAATGTTTGGGAATCACATGGATTATCTCAGACGGGGGCTTATCGATATTCCACTCTTTATTCAGACATTGTCGGAGATTGCTTCACAATAATCACCAAAGAACACTCGCTGCACTCCACAATCGCGTCACTTGCGACCAGACCGCTTTGTCCGGGTGACTCATCGAGGTCTCCGGCTCCGTCGAGCAGATATTGGCCGCCACAACGGCAATCGTACGCATAGCTCCACACTGTCCCCGTCTCTTTGTCCGCGTCTGCGTCACCGTCAGCCTCGCCCCTATCTTCCGAGCCTTCGACTTGGATGCTTCGCATGTCGCTAGCAGTTATGTGGGCATAAATGTTGTTGTGCGCTTGAAACTTGGCCTGGAGCAATTCGGCATCGTAGTGTTTACGCTTGATGGGGTCTTTAAGCGTGTTCCAGGCCTCATTTATGGCGTTGAAGTCGCTCAGATTCTGAGATCTCCGCTCCTCTTCTCCCACAATTCTCCGATTTGGGTCAGCCACATCATGCTGCTGTAATTTGTCGGGATGACATTGTAGTATCAATTGTTTGTAGCTGCCTTTGATCTCTTCAAAATTGGCCGTCTCTGAGACTTTGAGGACCTCATAGAAGTCGGGCATCATCTGCAAGACAAGAAGTTCACAATAAATCTATGAGTGAAAATTGAATCAGACTTAGTAAATACTTACATTTAATACAAACAAACTGGCAGGCCGCCAAATATCACTTTATCATGTTTTCTTTTCTTTCCAGGCGAAAATTTCAGTTTGATTGTCACTATTGTCGGCGCCACAAGAGCTGTTTATTGTTTGTTTACATGATAATTCCCGAAACACAGATCGTAATGATTAACAGCAACTTAAATCAATACCAAACAAAACACAACCGTAGCCACTCCCCACGTAAAAACTTCCTTTTGTTTCTGAAAACGGAAATGGCCCCAAGAAGGAGTGTGCTGGGTGTTTGTCGTGTTGCTAGGCGGCTATTAAAATGTGTACATAGAAATTCTTTGCGTGTTTTTCAACCATAATTCTCATTCAGCCAATCTCGCAAATAACCCGTTAAAAAAGAGTCGAATTTTCATCGCTGCGTCTATTAAGTTGTCACTCTTAAGCAAACGCACACACACACACGCGCGCTAGCTCCGTCTCTCTTTCTGGCACACATGTATCATGTACCGAAAGTGGTACATATTGTCAAAAAGTCAAGCCCCAATTGCACTTGGAGAAGGGGAAAGAAGGTCAGCAAACTGGTTCGCCAGCAGCAGCCAAAAATATAAACATATACAGGACGGCGAATGTCGCTTCACCAATCGGCTGGCAACGCATACAATGACCCAATTTTAGAATTACCAAGTGTGGAGAAAATGGGACTGGAGGGGAAAGGCAACCCCAATTAGAAGGGGCAGAGTGCATTCACTTATTCATTCTGGGGGAACCAAATGTGGATGCCGTAAAAAATCAAGACTTGCCTTATACATAAGTTGTCGACGTCGCTGTCGTATGCGGGGATATGCTTCTATATTGTGATTCGCAGGATATTTAATATTTGTCGAATTACCCTTACGTGTGCACCGTCACTGGGCTTGTAGCAGTTTTATTCTTTTGTTGCACACGCGTTTCACATTTATTATATTATATCCCCAGATCCGCAGGCAATTGTTGTCACGTGCACTGGCCAAAACTAGTCATGATTTCACGATTTATCTTGCAATTTTCCCCGCGCGACCGACAGCAGTTGGTTTTTTTTTACAACACACCAGTGTGACCGCGGATCTATCGATAAAATATACCGTCCGACCCTCAGAAATATGCCGAAACATACAGCCTCATTTTTAAAATATACCGTAAATATACTGACGAATTATTTGTAGTTAAGTCGCATCACATTCCATGTTTTTTATATTTGGTCGAATATTTCAAGGTAATATTATCCTATTACTAAATTAATTTCCTAAGAAATTGCATTGCTTATAAAAGAAGGTTGGAGATCAGACTAGAACAGAGCCAAAGCAGGCTCTTGAGGAACTTGATGTCCCAGGGAATGATGTCATCGGTGGACCACCCATAGGCAGCCTCATCTTCAGGCGGCTCGGGGTCGTCCTTGTGGTACTCGGCCCAGATCAGGACCAAGCGCAAAATTTCCGAATTCACTTTCGGCAGAACAAGAGGTTCCTTGTTCTTATCCTCCTTGTCGCCATCCTCGAGCAAGCCTTTCATGATTCCCGAGCACTTCAGGAACCTGACGTCGACGTCGAAGTCTTCCCCGTTCGAAGACTGCAGTTTAATGGTCGGCATTTTGGTACCTTCGTTGTTCGACATCAACAGCAACCGCCTCAGCTTCTAGGCGAGTCAATTGCAATCTTTAGAGGATTCAGATTCTACCAGCAGTTCCATTGATCACGTATGTAAATGAAATTAAATTTTTGGAATCTAAATCTAATGTACCTGCTTTTCTTTCTGTTGTACTGTAGCTGCTTTCCTGGGAGTGTTCCCCCAAAATCCACGACACAAAGTCACCGAGTTGAGATAGCCAAGGATAATTTAAGTTCTCTTAAAAAAAAATAGCATAATAAGAATCAAAATTAAATCGCAATGTCATGGCATTAAAAGTAACACCACTAATAAGAACGACTTCTTCTAGTTTAGACAGAGCAGCGCTCTATCGCTGTTTCTTTCTTTCAATCTCGTTAAATTGGACATATAAATACTGAAAAATACCAGCGGTATATTTTGAATATGAGACGGTATATTTCAGACGGTCGGACGGTATATTTGATCATTTATCGACCAAAGTCACTCTGTCGAGCTGTCAACGCAGTTTCCGCTTTCTTTCCGTGCGGTTCTTAAACATGACTGGTTTAACGAATAGGGTAAGTGCCAACAAAAATGGAAAATAAACTTATCTACTGTGACGTTATTATCGAGCAAATGTATGCAAAGCGTTGAGTGCCATGTGGAGTTGTGGTGACAGTGATAAAATGCTGCGAATAGCACCGAAAATCCTGTGTTTTTAGTGGCGAAACCGTTTCGCACAGTACACGTGCCCATGCTAAAAGTGGGAGCCTGGCATATGTGAAAATGATGAAATGGTGCGCACAATGAGCATTGGGCTGAGTGAAATGTGTGCACGACAGTTTTTTGACGAACGTGAACTGGCGGGAAATTCTCTGCATAAATTTGTTTATACGGCGTTCACAAAACATAACCTCACATTTCTGACATTGTTTTTGTGCTCCCCTTGCAGACCGTTGTTATTGATGGTCGCGGCCATTTGCTTGGCCGTCTGGCTTCCGTCGTCGCCAAGTACCTGTTGCAGGGCGGCAAGGTGGCCGTCGTTCGCTGTGAGGAGCTGAACCTCTCCGGCCACTTCTACAGAAACAAAATCAAGTTCTTGGCCTACTTGCGCAAGCGTTGCAACGTCAACCCAGCTCGTGGTCCCTTCCACTTCCGTGCCCCGTCCAGGATCTTCTACAAGGCGGTCAGAGGTATGTTCAGGCCTAAGGCGAGAGGAGTTCAGCGAATCTGTGATGTTTTCAATCATATTACCTACATTATTTGAATGAGAAACCATGTAAACAAAACATAACTGAGTGAAGCTGGTCAACACATTCCTGCCTCTCCCCTCTGAAATCATGTATTTACTGCCTTTTATTTTCTTTCAGGTAAGCTCGAGATTCAGAGGTCCTCCGAACTAACTTTCGTGATGATTATTATCTTACCTACATTATTTGAACGAGAAGTCGTGTAACCAACCTCAAACTGATCCGCCCATGAGATCAACAAGCCTGTTTATGCTATAGTGTCTTTACTAATGCAAAGGTTTTTCTCCCTCGCAGGTATGATCCCACACAAGACTAAGCGTGGCCAGGCTGCACTCGCTCGTCTGCGTGTGTTCGATGGCATCCCATCGCCCTACGACAAGCGTCGCCGCGTCGTTGTCCCCATCGCTATGCGTGTGTTGACACTGCGCTCCGACCGCAAGTACTGCCAGGTCGGCCGTCTGTCGCACGAGGTTGGCTGGCACTACCAGGATGTGATCAAGAGCCTGGAGCGTAAGCGCAAGGCCAAGTTGCGTGTCACCCTCAAGCACAACCGCGAGCTGAAGAAGCTGACTGTTCAGGCACGTGAAAACATTGCCAAGGCGGCTGAGCCCTTCAACAAAATCATCAAATCCTATGGCTACGAGGTTTAAGGACAACAAAAACACCGGCAGATGCGTAGCAGTTTTTTAAAGGGAATAAAACAACATCTAAGTTTAAAAAACAATCGTCTTGTGTAGATATTTATGGGTTTTTTTTTTTTGTAATTTAATTTATTTACTCATTTGGCAATGCTTCACACATTTGGAAGCTTTGCTTAAGCTAGCTGCACCCTTCTCTGGAGCATAATGATAGCCGCGAAGTTGATAGTCGCCACCCAGTTATCCGGGGACAGAAGCATGTACTGCACCAGGGTTTGCCAGCCGCGCCCATGGCTTCCTCCAGCCGGTGGCGCTGCGCTGAGAATCTACCACAAGAAAATATAATATGCTTGGCATCCTCCTTCACATTGTGCCCGGAGGATGCCGAACATATCATATTTTCGAGTGGAAATTCATGGTGATCGGGAAGCATTGCGGATCTGATAAGTAAAAGTTATTCGAGTTAACATCGATAAAAAATTATACTGGGTTATGCCAGCTGGGTTATTATCGCACATTTTTCCAAGAACAGCTGATTTGGGAAAGCTGATTCCAGTCAGCTGTCTCCGACAGGGATGCATGCAAAAAATCTTTCCAGTGTCAAGAGCTTTTCATTGCAGCATCACATACTATTTTCAGGATAGATGTCGGTCTTCGAAGGCAAAGTAATAATTGTAACCGGAGCCAGCTCTGGAATTGGGGCAGGAGCTGCCGTCCACTTGGCCAGTCTCGGTGGACTCTTGGTAATCGTGGGACGCAATGTGGAAAAATTGAAGGAGACCGCTGATGGTATTCTGGCTGCTGGGGGAGCTCCGGCATTGCAGCTGCAGGCTGATATGACCAAGGAGGCGGATGTGGAGAAGATAATAGCCGCCACCCTGGAGAAGCATGGTTGCATCGATGTGTTGGTCAACAATGCGGGCATTTTGGAAACTGGATCCATTGAAAACACAAGTCTCGCGCAGTTCGATCGCCTTATGAACACCAACGTACGTGCCATGTACCAGCTAACTATGTTGGCCACTCCCGAGCTGATCAAAACCAAGGGAACCATTGTAAACGTGTCTAGTGTGTGTGGAGTCCGTGCATTTCCTGGTGTCTTGGCCTACAATGTGTCCAAGGCCGCAGTGGATCAGTTCACAGCCTGTGTGGCCCTGGAACTGGCTCCCAAAGGGGTGCGCGTCAATGCCGTCAACCCTGGCGTAATTATCACCGAGATACACAAGCGCGGCGGCATGGATGAGGAAACGTACGCCAAATTCCTGGAGCATTGCAAGGTCACCCACGCCCTGGGTCGCCCTGGTCAGGTGAAGGAGGTGGCTGCTGCAATTGCCTTCCTAGCCAGCGACGCGGCTAGCTTCACCACTGGCATCAGCCTGCCCGTGGACGGCGGTCGCCATGCCATGTGTCCCCGCTAAAACGCTTGGAAACAAGAAGAACCGATGGCATTTAAAGCACATATCTGTGCATATACGTTAATAAATTTTTATAAATGAAATGTTTGCTACAGTTTATTCTTTTAATACGTACACACAGAAACAAAACAGCCCAAACAAACTTAACCCACTTAAGGATATTCAGGCTATTTCTTCTGTTTAAAGGATTCTTTTATTTATAATACTTTTTATCTAAAGAAGGAACATGATCAACTAAAATACTTTAGCTTAAAATCACTTTATCGTAAATTCAGTAGGTATGTAGTTCCAAAAGTAGCGAAATTTCTATGTTTGGTAAGATTTGACCGATCGTATAGTAGAGATTTATTCGTCAAGATTAAGACTACAGTAAAAACGCTTTGAAGCGACGAAGTCTCTTTACGAGCTGTCTTCTCGCTACGAGTCTAGAGACAGCTATTTAAAAAACTAAACATTGTAAGCGTATGTACAATAGGAATTGGATAGGCGCATTAGAAAGCAGGCTTAAGGACAAAAGCCAACCTAAAACAAGCCTTAATGGAAGAATGGAGAAATATAGGGGAGATTCTACCAAAAAATTAGTAGACTCGATGCCAGCTTGCTTATCGGCCGTCATTAAGGGTAAGGGTATCCTATTTTTAAGTTTTTCTTGGGGTGTGCCAATAATTTTGCTCATCGAAATATGCCGTACTTTTTTGTTTTTTCTTTTTTACTATTACTATGTTGAAGGTTTTGAAATAAGTTTTTTGCTGTGCCAAAAATGTTGTTCGTCACTGTATTTAGCAGTGTACATATGTATGTATATAGCAGCTATCTTCTACTCGAAATATGGGTATAGTGCGTTAAACTGATAATTATCTACAATTCACACTCTGCTTTATTTCACAACGACTGGAAACAGACATAACACAAAAGCTAGCGCTATCGATATTGTTATCGACTTCAATGTCAACCTCGACACCCAACACCACTCCACTTCCAGCGGATCGTTCGAAGAGCCAACACAAATATGCCCTGTTTCAAAGATAAGGTTATTATTGTGACGGGTGCCAGCTCCGGGATTGGGGCCTGCACTGCCGTTCACCTGGCCCGTCTGGGCGGCCTCCTGACCATTGTGGGACGCAACGTGGAGAAGCTGAAGGCCACAGCGGATGAGATTGTCGCCGCTGGAGGAGCCCCGTCCCTACTGATTGCTGCAGACATGAACAAGGAATCTGATGTCGAGCAGATTGTTTCTGCCACGCTGGTTAAGCACGGACGCGTCGATGTGCTGGTAAATAATGCCGGAATCCTTGAGACGGGCACCATTGAGAACACCAGTCTGCAGCAGTACGATCGCCTAATGAACACTAATGTACGCGCCATCTATCACCTCACCATGCTGGCCACCCCCGAGCTGATCAAGACGAAGGGAAACATTGTGAACGTGTCCAGTGTGAACGGAATCCGATCTTTCCCCGGCGTGCTCGCCTATAATGTGTCCAAGGCAGCCGTGGACCAGTTCACCCGTTGCGTGGCCCTGGAGCTCGCTCCCAAAGGAGTGAGGGTAAACTCTGTTAATCCCGGAGTGATCATTACCGAGCTGCAACGTCGTGGAGGACTAGACGACGAGGCATATGCCAAGTTCCTGGAGCACGCAAAGGTCACCCATGCTCTGGGCAGGCCCGGACAGGTGTCAGAGGTGGCAGCGGCCATTGCTTTTCTCGCTAGTAATGAGGCTAGCTTCACTACGGGAATAAGTCTGCCCGTGGACGGTGGTCGCCACGCCATGTGTCCGCGATGAGATGTGCTGTTCCTAGTCCGAGTGTCCAAAATAATTTAAATATATTTTGTAGCTTGCAGTCTCTAAATTTGTAACTTCATTTCAATGGGCAGCAATGAAAGTTTAAAGGTGAATAAGGAACTGTGAGCAGTTCTGAGCAGTTCTGAGATCCTCTCAAAGTACAGGCACCTTTCGATCAGGCACACATCTCTGCCAGAATGTGGGGTCTTCGGATTAATCCTGGAATAATTCGAGGGAATCCAAAAGGTGGAACTGTTAAACTATTCGAACTACATGCCTTGCCCACAGTTGTTGAGCAAGATGAGGCATGTTTTATGACAGTTTGTCACCCGAAACGCGGGGGGCCATAAGCAAGTAATGTGTCCCTCTACTAGATGTTTATTTTAAGCTATGTATATTTATTAGAAAAAGCACAAAATAAATGCAAGAATTGATCAGACTGGAGCTCATTTGCGAATTCTATCTGGGGCACATGGCGTGGCGACCACCGTCCACGGGCAGACTTATTCCCGTAGTGAAGCTGGCCTCATTACTAGCGAGAAAAGCAATGGCAGCTGCCACCTCTGACACATCTCCGGGCCTGCCCAGAGCGTGGGTGACCTTTGCGTGCTCCAGGAACTTGGCATATGCCTCGTCGTCTAGTCCTCCACGACGTTGCAGCTCGGTAATGATCACTCCGGGATTAACAGAGTTTACCCTCACTCCCTTGGGAGCCAGCTCCAGGGCCACGCAGCGGGTGAACTGGTCCACGGCTGCCTTGGACACATTATAGGCGAGCACGCCGGGGAAAGATCGGATTCCGTTCACACTGGACACGTTCACAATGTTTCCCTTCGTCTTGATCAGCTCGGGGGTGGCCAGCATGGTGAGGTGATAGATGGCGCGTACATTAGTGTTCATTAGGCGATCGTACTGCTCCAGACTGGTGTTCTCAATGCTGCCCGTCTCAAGGATTCCCGCATTATTCACCAGCACATCGAGCTTGCCATACGCCCGAAGGGTATCGGCCCATACACGCTCAATGTCCTCCGCCTTACTGATGTCACCCACAACTAGAGCTGGGGCGGACTTGCTCGCCTCACTGCATTGCTGGGCTACCTTTTTAAGATTATCCACATTGCGTCCGTTCAGTGCCAGGCAAGCGCCGAGCCTCGCAAATTTCAGAGCTGTTGCGGCCCCAATCCCAGAGCTCGCTCCTGTAATTAAAATAACTTTACCAGCGAAATTCATGATTTGATCCGTGTTATGCAAGATTCAAACAAGTTCGCAATCTCAGTGCGCATCTTGTGAGGTTTTGTTGTGGGTACTCTGGCAAACCACCCAATAAATACTACCTGAAAAACCGGGTTCACATCTTCTTATTTTTTCATTTCAATTTTATTATTATTATATATTATATTATATTGATATATTATCACTGGCTGGCACATGATTAGGCGGCGGTAGCAGAACGACCGGGCCGTGGGATCTAATCCAAAGAGTTCATTTGCGACAGTTAGTGGGGTATACAATACAAGCGCACATTTTTCGGTGCGATACTTTCGATGCTAAACCAAAATGGTCGATAGTATCGACAGCGCTATCGCTTTATTCCCAATTATTTTCAATGCGCCTTTTTTTTATTTAAATTACATTATTATAAGCCTTAAGCAAATGCAATATCTGTAGAATAACAAGTAAGTAGTGTGGCTGTCGCCAGCATAATTCTTTTAATTAAATATTAGCTCCGAAGCGAGCAAATCGACACAGAGTTGTGCGCCGTGTGATTGTGTGTGTGTGTATGAACGAAGAAAATTTTATTGCAGAAAGGTCCACGACGCGTAGCGAAAAACTCGTTAAAAAGAGAAAGAAAGGATTACATATACATATATCAGGAGTAAGCTAAGCTAAGAAGAAATACGGAAATAGACGGCAAAAAGCAATGGACGTGTCACAGCCCCCGCCTCAGTTGCTGACGGCGCCATCTGCGCTGGCGACGAACTTCACATCCCTCCCTCCTCCCTCGATGGGCGGACAACACTACAGACATTACCATCCTCATCACGGCTCCAACAAGCATGGCTATAACCAGTTCAAGCCCTTCATGCCAGGTGGTTTTCAGCGGCCCTTTGGCATGTCGCAGGACGATTTCGATGGGAAGCGATTACGCAAAAGTGTAATGCGAAAGACCGTGGACTACAATGCATCCATAATCAAGGCCCTGGAGGTGAGTGGGAGGCTTTCAGGCGCACCGCAAACTCTAAAAATATTTTACTTGCTTGCAGAATCGTCTTTGGCAGCGCGATCACAGGGATCGGCTGGCCCTGCAGCCTGATAGCATATATGTGCCTCATATGCTGCCGCCTTCCAGCTATCTAGACAATCCCTCAAATGCGGTGACAACGCGATTCGTCAAGACAGCCACCAACAAAATGCGCTGTCCCATCTTTACGCTAGCCTGGACGCCAGAGGGAAGGCGTCTGGTCACCGGAGCCAGCTCTGGCGAGTTTACGCTATGGAACGGACTCACATTTAACTTCGAGACGATCCTTCAGGTAAGTTGGAACCCCGCCAGCAAGCGGAGCCAAGCTAATCAAGTGATGTGTCGCCCAGGCCCACGATATATCGGTGCGCACCATGGTCTGGTCACACAACGACAGCTGGATGGTAACCGGAGACCACGGCGGCTATGTTAAGTACTGGCAGTCCAACATGAACAACGTCAAGATGTACCAGGCCCACAAGGAGGCCATTAGGGGAATAAGGTATAGCCATTTAATTGTAACTGTCAACTGTACTATTTACCCATTCGTAGCCGCTGACGCAAGCATTCGGCCACCGTCAATAGCAAGTCAAAGTGGCAGCCACAGGCAAAGCCACAACTTAGTCCAAATTAAAACACTAGCTCGCGGAGCTTACCCTCATGATGGTTGTCGTTGTCGTTGTAGTTGTAGTCCCGTTGTCTCGCTAGACGATTTGGCACGGGTCGCGTGGGCAGTAGCGTGCATTCACTTCCTCAGATACCTTGTTGGATGTTTAATAGATCGGTTACTACCAGCGCTGTTTGCTGTTTATCAATAAAGTTATCCCTCGAGTAACATGCCATTTCTTAGCCATCCCTCCTTGCCTTCCTTGACTGAGGCAATTACGATTAACAAAAGTTCACAAAAGAACGAATCTCATACCTCCCCATATCTGTGTTATAGCTGTAAAGAATTAAAGACTGAAAGTGAAATGCAATACTGAGAAACCTGAGAAACAATAAAAGCAACCAACTTAACTCAAAACGAAACTACTGCACCATTTTATTTACGAGGACACAGCATCAACAACAACCAACAACAAATAAAATAAAAACTGAATGCAACAACTGATTGTTTAAAAATTCGGGGGTTCGAGTGTTTTCTTTTGTGAGCCGATGCCGATCTGCCTGGTCCAGCCAGGCAATTCCAGCGACCCAATTCCGGTGACTGGGTCGACATCTTGCGAGCGTATCTACCCACAGAAAATATAGTCACGCCTACAGTCCTACTACAGCAAACTCCAGAAGGCATCGCATCTGTTGTTAAACGCTTTTGTAATGGATACGGCGGGTTCTAAATGAGATCGCTTTCCCGAAAAATAACTCAAATTCAAATTTAAAAACCTTTCAATATATTCTATGGTCTTTGTTTATTTTTCCTTATGAATCTAAGTTGTTGTGATAACCTTCATAAAAAACCACAAAAATTAATTAATTTGGCTTATTAAATGAATACCATTTACTTCAAAAGTAAATAAGTATTGCGGATGACATTTGGAAGAAGATATAAGAAAGAACCCCAAAATAAGTGCAATAAAATATATGGTTACCCGAATTAGCCTTAACGATTGGAAGCGAAATTGAATTTGAGAAACGCCAAACTTTAGAGAAATAATAAATTATCGCTACATGGAATACCTAATTGATGATTTCCTTTTCTGGTGAAGAACAACATAACTAAGAAAGAAGAAATATATAAGAAATATAACATTCGGCATTCATTCATACTCGTAGGACATGATTAATTCACACACACACCCAAATCGGTATTTCGTTACGTTCTAACCTTTCTCCAATGCAATCCACTAAACGCAGTTTCAGTCCCACGGACAGCAAGTTTGTCAGCGGCAGTGATGACGGCACCCTGCGGATCTGGGACTTTATGCGCTGCCAAGAGGAGCGAGTGCTGCGAGGTAAGTGCCAGATGCCAGATGACAGTGGTAGACCTGGAACATTAAATGCAAACATTTTCCGGACTACATAGGTCATGGTGCCGATGTCAAGTGCGTGCACTGGCATCCGCACAAAGGAATGATCGTGAGTGGGAGCAAGGATAACCAGCAGCCCATCAAGATCTGGGACCCCAAGAGCGGGATTGCCCTAGCCACGCTGTGAGTATCCCCCCAGTAGGTCTAAACCACCAGCCACCTTTCATTGAATCACGTCCGATTTTACACAGGCATGCACACAAGTCCACGGTGATGGACCTAAAATGGAATGACAATGGAAACTGGCTGGTCACCGCCTCGAGGGACCATCTGCTAAAGCTCTTCGACATACGGAATCTGCGGGAGGAGGTCCAGGTGTTCCGTGGCCACAAAAAAGAGGCTAGCTCTGTGTCCTGGCATCCGATTCACGAAGGCCTCTTCTGCTCCGGCGGCTCCGATGGGTCCATACTTTTTTGGAATGTTGGGTGCGTTTGGGTTTGAGTTTAACAGTGATTCTCTAAATAAATCATGCATCTCTTGCAGAACGGATAAGGAAATCGGTTGCGTGGAGACGGCCCATGACAGCATTGTGTGGACTCTGGCCTGGCATCCGCTCGGGCACATCCTGTGTTCCGGCTCCAACGACCATACCATTAAGTTCTGGACCAGGAATCGTCCGGGAGATCTTATGCGGGACAAATACAACTTGAACACATTGCCCGCCAGCTTGGCTGCACTGGATGAGTGTGAATACGGTAGGGTCTTGTCTTGGACAGTTCGAACAGAAAGTGTTCCGCATCTTCTTCACGTAATTCCCTTCTCACAGATGACGCCATAATACCCGGAATGGGACCTGAGGACAGGGTGGAGTTTACCGAGAGTCTTACAGCCGACAAGGGCTTCATTCCCGGCCTGGATCTGGATCCCAGCAAGGCGCTCTGCGATCGGGACAGGGAGAAAAAGGTGCCCTACAGCAAGCCCATACCACGAAACTTCCAGGTGCAGTGGGCGGGTCCTCGCCGTGCCGACGATCCTAGTGTGCTCACAATCCACGAGGAACTGGCAGCTCGAGAGGCCAAGGACTTGTCCAACGGCCTGACTCACCAGCAGATAAGCGAAAACACCCTGGAGGGCATTCTGGCCAGTGGCATGCTGAACGGCCTCGATCCTCATACAATTGTCGGTGTTTTTGCCTACAATCGCTTCATTCGCGTGCATCCTGATTCGCGTCTGATGGGGGCTATACGCCAGGGAGCGGACTTCCTCAACAAGTACGTGGACGCTGGCAAGTTGGAGGAACTGAGCGATGTGGTGCCCCTTAAGGACCGATCACGATCTGTCTCCCCTGCGGTGGAGGCTCGCGGCGAGGTTGCCTCGCCCCCAACGAAAAAGTCTCGATTTGAGCCCCGACAGCACAACGCTCAGTTGGTATGCGTGCGCGAGCTCCTGCTCCTGAAGAAGCCCTTCCTGCCCTCGCTCGTCACCGTTAAGGCACAACAGCCCAACACGGAGTTTGTGGATGAGCCACCACTGGAGCAGTGCGATCGGGAAAGAGAGAGGGATCGCGAGAGAGAGCGAGATCGGGAACGAGATCCATCCCAATCGAACAGACCCAATCCATGGGCTGCCAATTCTCCATGGACGAACAATGGAAACGGCGGGGGCGGAGGCAATGGCTCCAATGGCTTCAGCAACAACGGCTCAGACAACTTCAACGAGCGAGAGCGGGACCAGTTTCCAAAGAGTGGCAACAACAACTCCAACAGTGGCGGACAGCAACGCCGCAGGCGTGGCAACAACAACTCCGGCTCCAGTGGCGGAGGAGGTGGGGGAGGTGGTGGCAGCGGGAGCGGAAGAAATCGAGGGCGAAACAACAGACGCTTCTAAACAGAATCAAATCTTGGAACCATTTAATCTTATCTTATCCATACATTCTCTAATTGTAAGCACGCTCCTTTAGTTGAAACAATCAACACTTATGCAACACTGCTTTTTAATGCGAACACTCGCTATGTATTGTTTTAGAAAGAAAAAAGC